AAACAGTAGGGTACTGAACTGGAACACATCCTCCCCATGAACGAATCAAAGATAACAACATGACTCCTGAGCAATGGGGACATGAAAGTAATCATCTGTCATGTCGAATTTGGTCATCCAAAAACCCAGAGAAAAAACCCACCAAAGAGAGAGGTAGGATGAATCCATGGTGAATCAAGGTGTATCCAGAAAGGCATTCAGCCAGGATAGATTGATAACAGGTCTCCAATCTCCCATCTTTTGGGGGACAACAAACAGATGGGAGTAAAAACCTGGATAAACAGGTAACACATATTCTTAAGCATGTTTGTGAAGAATATTGAGAACTGACTCCGCTAGACGACTGGACAAGATACTATCCAAAGGAGAAAGAAATGAAACCGGGAAAGAGAACAGGGGAGGAGGTGTCCCGAATTGAATGCACAGACCCTCTGACAAACCAACCATGGATCAGTCGTATAGGGCTTCCAGATGGTCGAAAAGAGTTGCAACCTAGTCCTCACTGCCTGTGGAAAAACATCCCCTCACCAATAATGGTGAGGCTGAGATGAACAGGAAGAATGGGCATAAGAAAGGGAATGTCGGGAGTAGGGTAAAGGGTAGGATAAAGAGGAAGGTGCAAGGGGCACTCGAACTGGCAAAGTTGGAGCACAATCAGTAGGACAAGACAAAAGAGAAGTAAGGGAGGACAAAGAAAAATGCAATTTCGCAACATTGACCCTGGACTCCAAAAACTCGGGAAGATCCCCAAAGACTATTTCATGCAGAAACAGGGCCTGACAAAGTTCACGTAACTATGAAAGGGGAAGACACCCCCACGCAAGTAATGCATTTCTCCCGAGTAAAACCCAACAACACAAAATTCAAGTGGTGAGGGACAAGGCTGAAGCCAACAACCGAGCCAAGGTAGACTACAGGAGGGTCTGGAGATCAGCCTCCCCCTGACAAAACCTTCCTCAGAAGCATGGTCCTGGGGGAAGGGAGAATGATCAGAAGAAGCAGCAAAAGCATCAAACTCCACCAACATCGGCAAATTGCTGCACTGGGGACTGTTTTGTTTTGGTTGAATTTCACACAAATCTACACAAGGGCTATCTGCACTAGCCGTCCCTAATTTAGCAGTGTAAAACTAGAGGGAAGGTAGCTAGTCACCATTATCCACCGCTAACTCTTAGGCTACTCTTTTACCAACGAATAGTGGGATTGAACGTCACATTATAATGCCCCCACAGCTGAAAGGGCGAGCATGTTTGGTGGTACAGGGATTCAAACCCATAACCGTCAGATTGTGAGTCGTGTGCCCTAACCACCTGGCTATGCTGGCCCACTGTGGACTAGTAATATGAGTTTTGTCCATATTGGCAGAAATTTCTTCATCCCCCACATGAAAATTCGATTTCATAAGTCCACGCAGACTTTGTAAAAAAAATAGTAAAGGAACTACGAAATAAATAAGTAATTCCAACTAAAAGTGAAAACTAGCAAGAAATCACACAAAAACGTTGCAAAATTCATTTGAAGAACCACTGAAAATGCACGTCTGAACACTATAGTGCCAATACCTAGTAGAGAGGGCACAATAGGATTGGTGGAAGGTTGTCACATAATCAGCACATGCTGCTGTAATGACACAAAAAATATAGGGGTATAAAAGAATGGTGCACTGTTCATAAGGTTTACAAATGCCTAAAGGCAGGTGAAGGTCAAGATAGCTATGGGGAAGCAGAGGTGGTACCGTTTCAGAAAGTAATTTTCATGATAAGATTAAAAATACTTTTCTTCAGATGAAAATTTTCAAATATCATTTGCATAACCCCTAAAACCTCTTAAATAAATATCAAATGTTTTTTCTGACAAACTTTTTATTTACCCTAACTCTATACGAGATTGATTGATTTGACCGACCTCGTAACCATCATAAAGAATTTGGAAATAATTATAAATTTCCCTTATTTTCTTTCTGGAATGACTGCAATTTGTAACAAAAAACCACAATTATTTATCCAAAGTAGTTTAAAGCTTGTAAAAGTATACATCTGTTTATGCTTTGAACTGTGTCTAATTACTATTTGCACCAGATAAGTTATAAATCACATGGCAAATGTGGAGCTTGCATTACAGTATCGAATTACATAAACCATGGACTACTCACAAACGTACCTCATAAAAATTATTAATATAATTATCAATTATTTTACTTTAGCTAGCCTAAAAAGTTTTCCATTTTTACATCTTAGTTATTTCTATAATAATAAATAAAGAATACACGTGAAAAACAAGAAATAAAGTACTTACCTGGGTCTTCTTTTTTTTTGCTCTTGACTGTCACTGAAACTTTTTACACTAATTCAACTACTGCATTAAATAATTTCCATTTAATTAAATAATGCACCAAAGAAAACAGAATAATAATTTGCAAAAAAGGAAACAATGTTACATAACTATCAAAATTTTTCTGGCTTTTTAACTTGCAACAAAAGCCAATAAAGATTCAGCTAATCTTGTTGATGTGTTTACTCTGGGAATAAAGTTTGAACTGGAAGGAAAATAGACAATTCTCTGTACAGACAACAACATAATATAACATATCATTTGATAAAGAAAAACTTTAGCTTTATATTGGTTATAAATAAACTTTGGCTTTCTATTGGTTATAAATAATATAGTCTTAAATGTCAGAAAGAACTATTGGCAAATTCTAAAGAACAGAATGTGATGACAGATGGGCATGGCAAGAGGGGTCTGATTTTCTATCTTATTGCTCTGTAACCAAATAAGATTGAAGGTTATGTAAATTATGCTTTGCCTGAATGATGAAAACATGAGTAATTTACATTAAATTTCGTACTTCTTGGAGGGGTGGTAAAAAAATCACAGTTCTCATGATAGGGAGATTGAGAATATTTTAAAAGTATTTTGTCATAAAATTAAGAATTTCAAACTTAAATAATATTAAACATTGGTTTATTATCTATGTTATGATGCTGAATTTATTCTGTACATTGATAATAAAGCAGCTTAATTAAAGTTTGAATTTAACTCAGTGAAAGGTTGTGACATGCACACTTTGACCAACCCAAAGTGAAAGGGTTAATCATGTGGTATTTTCACATACTTTATTTTTGTGCAATTTATTGTCATTGATGAAACCTATTGGAAGTTGATTGTGGACAGCTGTGTGCAAACTGTATGCTGTTTAATTTGTTATGGTACAAAGTTCAAAGCAAAGTACTTGTGCTTGCCTTGCGTATGGAAAGTTTTTCAGTGTGTATTCGGTATTTGGGGGTCAAATCTTATGCATCCTGAAGAATTCTCGTGTGTACAGGACCCAGGAGCTTGAGTTAACTACAATGCCAACTGATTAAGGAACTATGACTAAACTACATATTTTGAGTGTTATATGTGAAGTAATGAGCTATAAATACACAATAACATGTATACTTAGATGTTGTTGTGTATTTATAGTTCATTACTTCACAAATAACATCAACTGTTGTGTATATGGAAAGGATCAATACACCAAGGAGGAATTAATTATGTCTAAACATTATATCCTTAGGTACCAGTAAAGGAGTAATGAACTGTGCCAAACATTAACTTCAAGGAGTTACATATTAAGGAGTAACGAATAATGTCAAAACAGTAACTTCTATGTGGAACAGGAGTAAGAACTAGAACCAAACCTTAATAGTTATGTACACATGGTAAGGTATAATCTATTAAGACTGAGCATTATCTACCAAGGGTACATGTGAAGAAATAATGAGCTAGATGTAAAAATTATGTACTCTTTGGATATATCAAGGAGTAATAAACCAAAATATCAACGACTATGTGCTAAACGTGAAAGAACAAGCAATTGTAACAAAACATTAACATCTATTCTTACATGGTAAGGAATAAGTAAATGTGACCAACCATCAATGTCTGTGTGTACAAGTGAAAGAGAGATGAACTATGATGAAATATAATATAATATGTAATAAATGTTAAGGAATAAGTAACTATGATTAAACATTATAGTCTAAGTAGTACTAGTTAACGAGTAATGAACTAGTTCTAAACAAAATATCATATGTGGACATGTTATTGAAGAATAAACCATATCTAAACAGTAATGTCTATGTTACCTGGTAAGGCAGGAAGGATAATGCATAAAATAGCGGGTGTGAATTGAACACTGAAGTAAGTGCTGAATGTTCCATTAACAGGGGAGAAGAAAGGAAACAACAGGTAGAAGGCTTACAAGATGGGAAAGTAGATATGTGCAGTAGGTAGATAAGTATAGGGTGGAAAATTGCTCCATTTTGTCCTCCCCAACTTCAGCTTCAAAATCTATGAAGATAAATGTATGGAAGAGATGGAAAAAGGTCCAGGTGCCAACATGGACTCCACCACATAGTGGACTATGTGACAGTACTCTTCTTCTTACTGTGTTTTCAACATGAGTGACACTTTTTGCAATACACGATGGCTTTCACAATCTCCATAGGCAAGAACTTCTTAAATGTTGGTATCAATGTGTCATACTCGTACTCACATTAGCAGAAAAAGAAATTCACATTAATTTGTGAATTCTTATTAAAAGGTTGAAAATACAAATTTGCTGAAGTACCTACTTCAACAAATCTCAGCAAAAATAAACACAACTATGCTGAGGAAAAGAATGACATATTTTGCAAGTGAATGTAGAGTGAGCATTTGTACAAGAAGGTGTGCACTTCTATTGGTAGAGGGTTTAGCTGTATGATATATCATCATGCAGTAGCACAATTTCATGTGATTCAAATGAATTTTAAGTGGGAATTTGCACAAGGCTGGTGACATACAAGTTTCTTAAGCAGATTAGTGAAATTTCAAGAGGAAAGTAGCTTTCAGTATATGGAAGCAAGTGATCATATCAGAAGTTAAAATTTAAACAGTAAACACTAAAATTTACAAAACCTAGCTCCTGTCTCCTAGCTTTTAGGTTGTACAGGTATAATTTAACTTCTATTCACCTAGTTCCATAGGTTGGCTGGTGACAGCAGGAGATGCAAAACAAGCAAAGACATCGTGCAAGCAGTGAAAGGAAGTCACCTCAGGAACAGTTACAGACTGACCCCGACACTGTCCCCACATGTACACTTTACATGCCTGAGTCAAAGCTGCTGAAATGTGGTTGTAGTGAGAGGCAGCAATTTCCACAATTCTGAAAGATATAAATTTATATTCAAAGCATTATTCAGTAATGTTAATCAAACATTAATCAGAAGACTAGAAAACTGAAGTGTATTTCATTGAATAATACTGGTAAAACATGCTTCAGCAAAACCTGCATTTCAAATAACAGGATAGCATAACAAAACCAGAAATAAGTGAATGCATATTTCAAATCAACTGAAAATCTGAAATAATTTCAATATTTAACAATTTTCAACTCATCAGCACACATGAATCCACAAATGTTATAGGAATAAGTTGAATAAGTATATATAATTATAATTTTGCTTTATATACTTGAAATTACTTGATGAACAGATAACTAAGATTTTAACTTCAACTCCAATTAATTTATCATATCATCCATTTTTTTTGCAGTATTTAAATAACAGCAAAATAAAATAGTAAAATATTTCTTAAAAAGACTGGATAGAAGAAAAAAACAACTTATGTAAAAAAATAAAATAATGAGTAATATTTTTCAAAAATAAAATTACTTTTCCAACAAAGAAAACATTTATATATTTACTATTTTGTAAATATTTATAACTGGCAAATTTCAACAAAAGTTATGATTTTCCTATACAGAAAATACATTTCTTACAGGTACTTACCTCCTCTCACATAAATAGCTATTCTTGTTCAGTACTGCCCTCTATATGCACAAAAAATGTTTACGCATGCCACAAGTCTTTTTTTCTCCTCTCCATTGGAACTGACAAATTCCAATGCTTCTCTTATATAAATCATCATGCAACAACACTCCACCAATAAGAGTGTGATACACTCTCCCAACACACATAACTCTGTCTATTCGATTCTACCAAACTATTACTTCAAGTTATGGCAAAAAATTAAAAAACCAGTTTTAAGTGGGGAGGAAGGGTTGGAAGTATGAAAGGAGGTAAGTACCTATATGAAAATATATTTTCAATATTGGAAAATTATAACTTTCAATAAGGTACATTACCTCCTCTCACATAAACAGATAGAATTCCACATTGAACAGGTGGAGGGACCAGTGTGAGGGAAAAACAAAGAAGCATTCTTCGAACGCATCTGAAGAACACCTAAAAGAATAGACCCTCACAGTAGAGAATCATACATGGAGGAGCACACCACATCTGTACCAGATATACTCTTCGCCCAGTGTGGAATGAGGGAGGAGCACATCCATACAGGTAGGATAGGGATCCAAACTACCACATAACAAATCTCAATCCCACAGAGTACTTGAATATGGGTGTAAGTAAAAAGATGTGCCCCTAGGTGTAGAGTGGCTATGGCACGATAGATCATACACGGTAAGTCCACTGCATCCAAAGCCTAGCCACCAGGAACTGACATCATTGCAGAGATAGGATGAGGATCATACCGTCAGTAATTCAACTACAGTCCAAAACCCAGTCATCACCACCCCAGAGCAATAACTTCCTTGGGATATTAAAAGGAGGGGAAAAATTCGGTGGAGAGTCTGGAGGAATGTCAACACCAGAGACAGTGTGGGCAACCACGAAAAAGGTATTTTGAAAAGCAGACCATACCTGATATATTCAATTGAAGGCATGGCAGGGATGGGCAGTTGTCCCCTTCTGCTTTACCCATGAAATCGATGGGTGAGTATGGTCTGGGATGGGCATATCAATGAAGCAAATATATTGCGAGGAAAAAACATACAAGCAATCTTGTGGAACACCCCATCTCAACAGTGAGCATTTTATGGCCATGGAAATTAGAAATATGCAGTAAACATGGCCTGACAGTGCAGAGTTAACTATGAGAAGCATACTTGGTCAGGTACAACCTGTCATAGAGAGGGATCCAGACAAGTAAAAAAAAGAAAAGGGAAAAGCACATGAAAAAGAAGATATATATTATATATGTATAAAAGATAACTTACCCATTCTCAGTCTCACCAAAGTCTGAAGAATGGGTACAGGCAAAAGACCATAACCCAAAGATAAAGATCCAATGCAATTAGTGAGATATGAACGCATGTGGGGTAGTACACATGCCTGATTGAAGAACTTATCCCAAGGGAAACCTGAAACAAATTACATGAAGAAAATAAGGAAGAATATGTCAATCAAATTAAAACTCAAACCCAATTGGTCAGAGTGGAAAGAGAAAGGTCACAAACAGAGGATGTCTGCCAAGGAATGAATAGGCAAGAACAGGTACCATGGAAGGAAGCCATGCAGGCAACATAACAACAAAGAGCACAAATGAATCATAGTAGCATATCCAGATCAGACTGAGGATAAAGGTGGGAAATGAAAAGCAGAGAAATGGGCAGGAGGGATGATTTACCCTCCTGATCCACAGAAGTTTTGGAAAGGAAAGATCAATCAGGATAAAGGAGAATATATGTGGAATGATATAGAGTACATGAAACATCGATGGCAAATAAATTCTACCAATGATGTCCACAGGTTATTAGGAGAAGGATATAAGTCTTAAGGGATAAGTGAAAAATTGAGCATCAAATGGAAAAGTGAGACAGTGAATAACAACATTAACATTCCCATCCGGAAGGATTGCACACCGAGGTGGATGTCTAATCCAGAAAGAATACATCAATAGGGAAAGGGTAGGAAAAGTAAAAGCTTTACGGTACTTGGGATAAATGTGGGATAAGGCACCTGATAAACCTTTGACCCAAAGACCAAAGGTGGAAAAAACATTCCACTTAAGTTGATAAACATCCCTAAAGGAAAGGCAAATGGAACAATCTAAAAAAAAAGCAGCCTCCTGGGACAAACTGTATCTTCTCACCAGGGACCAGATAAAATTCAGGCGTGAAGATGGAGTATATGAAAGGCTGGATGAAACACCAGTGGCTGAAGTTAACATAGAAGAGATGGAGTAAGAGGAAGAAGTAATGGAGAAGCAGGATGGAGCTGGAGAAGCTGCAAAAGCCATGGTTGTGCCTACCAGTATGAAGCAATCAGAAGGACTTGACATAGAGTGGTGTGGATGATCAAAATCACCCTGTGAAGAAGATGGGTGGGAGAATAAACATACAGGCATTTGTTGGTCCAGTCTTGACTGAATGCATCAACAGCCAAAACAAGAGGATGAGAAACCAGAGACCAAAACAGAGATAACTTGGTATTGAGGGATGTGGCAAATGCATCCAGGTGAGGAGTACCCCACTAAACAAGAGGATCGGGAGATCACTTCATTGGATAAACTTTGTCAAAGAGAAAAAGAGGATCTGCAACAAGATTAAATGCACCTGGATCATGACATGCAAGGATATGAATACCGAGCATGTGGGCCCAAAAAAAGGAAATCACAAGGTTCGACCACAAAGGGAATGAGAACAGGTGCCACCTTGGTGATTGATATAAGCTACCACTGTAGAATTATCAGAATGGATTATGACCAGATAGTTCCTGGCAAGATGAAGAAAATGATACAAAGCACAACATATAGCCTGAAGCTTCAAGATGTTGATATAAAGACCACTGGCCTGAAGCTTCCTGCTGATCGACCCACACCACCCAGGCCTGAAAGGAGGCATCCATGAAGATTTGTATATCAGGACAAGGAGTAAGAAGCAGACACATCTGCCAAAGTATGAGCCTTGTCCAACCACTGATGCAGATCGCTTACAAGGGAAAAAGGAGCTTCCAATGGATCCCGTGCAAGATTCCATTGGTCATACAGAGCCCAATGAAGAGACCTCATATGCGCATGACCTAACGGGATAAGGGCTTCCTTATCCTCAAAAGCAATAGAACCTTGTGAGCTGTAAGAGAGGGAGCAATAAGGGCATGTAGAACTGAAAGCTCCATCAAACAAAGTCAAAGGGGAGAAGATTAGGCCTGACTGAGATGAGTGTTGAAAAAGACACCCAAATAGACAAGACATTGAGTAGGTATAAGGAATTACTTCTCTAATTTGATTAGCCAACCCACATGAGCTGCCTCCAGGAGCAGCAGATGAGTGTGATGGGCAGCCTCCTGTTTGTAATGAGCTAACAGAAGCCAGTCATCCATGTAATGATGGAAATGCAATCCCTAAGCATGCAAATGTTGAGCAAAAATCTTGACCACCTGACAAAAGACATGCGGGGCCGAAACCAGCCCGAATGGTGGGGAGGGAAGTTGATAAACTACCCTGTGGTAAAAGGGTGATAAAAGACTCTATGGTAAATAGGTATAGAACCAAAAAATGATTGAGGTAGGACAAATTTATCACAGACCACCAGCCCCCAGTTTTCTTGGGAACCACAAACAGTCTGGAACAAAAACCTGGAGAAAGATGAATGACAGGTTCACTGGCCTACTGGGAAAGAAGATCTTATACTCCCTCAGACATATGTTGACTGGTGGTAGGATCATGAGGCAATGGATAGGAAATTGGTATCTGAGACAATGAAGGAGGGAAAAGAAAATGGATGACAAGTCCCTCAAATAATACCCGAATAACCCACAGATCTATGGCAAAAAGTCACCAAAGGGGAACAAAACTGGTCAAGTGAGCCCCTACCGGACCTGAACACACTGGACAGTCACCAGTACTGTTGGTGATGTGTCCATCTGTGTCGAATAAAATGACGAGATTAGGAACCTCTGGGGGTAGGAACAGGTAAGGGCTGGGGAAAGAGCTGGATGGGAAACAGTAATAGGGCATATCTGGTCTCTGAATGAGACAAATGATCCACCAAGGAAGAAAGGATAGTTTGTTCTTGCATCGACTCCACATGGGATTCCAAAGTCTCAGGAATATTACCAAATAATACTGCTGTAGAAAAGAGGATATACATAAATCCCAGAGATAAGTGAGTGGTAAACAAACTTGGGACAAAGCAGCATCTCTTCCCAGAAGATCCCAACAACAAAGAAACCACATGTGTAAGTATAGAGCCAAAGAAGACAAGTGTGCCAACTTGGAGATAATCAGGGAGAGGTTATCCCTCAAAAACCTTCAAGATCTATGTTGATAGCCTCAGAAAGGAGGTGGATGGTAGATAAGTGCTGTAGGAGAGTCGATAGGGTTAGAGGAAGGGAGGAAAATTGGAAATAAAATAAATGAACAGGATGATCAGGGTTTGCCCCACATGGGCAAAATTGATTATGTCTGTTGAGAATCAAGAAACAGGCATTCAGCCTGATTATAGGCCAACAGAAACTGATCTGAAGCCCGTGGAGGGCGAGGCATGCTGGCACCATCAACCATCTGAGAAACAAAATGTTCAGCATGAACCCTAATATCAGGGAAAGAGAGGAAAACCAAATACTAAGAGGAGGAGGAGGTATCACGTAAAAAAGTAGGACAGGGATTATATGAAATCACGGAAATGAATAAAACAGAACACACCTGAGAAATCATATCTAAAAAAAGCTGTATTATGCTAAGCTGATTCAGCTGTAGAGGCATTAAAAGACACAGCAGAATCATATGGAGAAAAAAAGGCTGTCAAATTCCTCATCGACCCAAATGGGTTCAGCATGTTCAGGAGGAATAAGGGCAAGATCAGGAGAAGAAGGTTTACTCATATAACAATGAATCTCATGGCAGATGACAGTAAATAAGTCCAAAGATGAGTCACCCCCATCTGTAGCCTTTGTGAATGTGCTAGTAGAAGGTATTATCTCCGAAGTAATAACCTGAACTTTGGAATTCATTATGCAATAATGATAAAATCAAACACAATTGCTTGATGAGGAAAAAAAATTAAATACTAAGAAAATAAGTTACCTGAAAAGTCAATAATTATTTATAAACAAAAGAAATAAAATCCACTTCAGAATAATAACAAGAAAAAAATCACAAAGTTGAGCAAAGAAAAAAAAATTGACTGAAGAGCACTACAAAAATGTCTTGACACAAGTACTACCAAACAAGAAGTGATAATTTGGTAGAATCGAATAGAGGGAATCACATGCATTAGGAAAGTGTGTCGTGCTCATATTTGTGGAGGGTTGTCGCATGATGATTTACAAGGAGAGACAATTGAACCTGTTCACTGTAAGGTACGTGGGATGCTCAAGGCTTATGGCATGCGAAAAAATGTTTTGCGTATGGAGGGCAACACTGAACGAGAATAGCTATTTATGTGTCTGGAGGTAATGTACCATATCGGAACTTAGGCTTACAATATTAATTACTAAACTAATTTAATAAAAGTTCTAATCAGTAATGAAATTCTAAATAGTACATAATAGAAGTGTGAGAAGCTTTACATACAGTATTTTTAACCTCAAACCATGCCCGATATCGTCTACAGATTTAAGTATATTTTTTATAGTTTGTGCAACTTTTAAATGTGTTATAACTAGTAGTACATTCCAACATAAGTATATACACACAGCCATTTAACCCTACATACAAGGGGTTAGCCCACTGTACCAAGCCAGTTTTGGACAATTAATGTGTATTACAAATTCTATAATTTCAAATTTACTTATTGTATCTTCATGAAACTTGGAAAGCTTTTAGTAAACATTACAAGTATGTTGAACACAGGAAAAAAATCAGAATTTTTAAGAAAGTATTTCTATAAAAGACTTGTCTCTGAATTTACTTTCATCAGTCTGATTCACACTAACCTGAGTGCAAGGTGATTTTCATGTTAAGAGCAAAATTCCTTTTCATTTTAGTTTGCATATTTCATTAACATAACCTCTAAAACCTCCTAAATGAATACCAAAAGTTTCTCACTAAAACTATTTTATCTGTTATTTTCTCTGACATAATTCTATACAGGCTGAATCTATTTGACCAAACATGTAACCACTACAAAGATATCTAAATCTAAATTACTCGTGTCCTTCTAAAATTATTGCATATTATAATGGAAAATATCATAAGCAGCCTCAGGCTTGTAATAGTTTACATATGTTTTCATTTAATTTTAATGTTTTATTGCTCTCTGAACTGTGTCTAACTACTAAACCTGCATAAGAAAATGAGCAATCACCCAGCAAGCACATAACTTATAAACAAAATACTGAATTACATAATGAACAGATAAGTTCATATATGTACTGCAATGAGAAATTTATTTAATTTTCTCTTTATGTTTTCTTATCTAACATGATAAGTTTCTACTTTTAAAATTTTAGTTACTTTTAAAACAATAAATAAAAATATACACAAAAAAAACAAGAAACTTACTCCTCACATGTGGGTCTTGCCTTTTGTTTTTTGTACTCAAAGTCTTGAGTAAAATTAACCATAATTTTTGGTATGGCTGTTTTAATTACTTGACATAAGTTAACATTTTCCTACACTGGAAATGTATTTTCAATAGATACCTCCAATCATATAATAGCTTTTCTTGACTTGTGCTGCTCTCTATGTGCACAATTTTCACTCACCACTAGCCTTGATGCTCCCACCTACCCTCATGTGTTTACAGATGGTATAGTATTCAGTGGGTCAACTCCAGTCCAAAACCAGATGGAATTGGGTATTTATCTTCAGGTCCTCAGTAGGAGGAGGGTTCCAACCATCTACACCTCAAGACCAGAAAGCAGAAGGAAAAACGACTTCTGTTCCAACATCCCAGCTTGGGTACAGTTTGTTAAATATATTTTTCTTATGTTTTTACTTATAAAGATTATAATGCATTGTTTCATCAGTTGAGTTCCCTCACTAGTAACCATATTTTTGGCCTTAATCCAAATAATATTTCACAATAATCCAGATGAAACAACAAAAGTTGTTCCATTCAATTGTGCTAGAACTCCCACCTGTACGTAATTTAAAAAGGAAAAAGCCTGAGTGGGATAAAATCTAAAATTTACATAAAACAACCTAACAAGTAATTAAACAGCAAAATGAATTTTACCTCCCAAATTCAGCAGCAATTCTAACTGGTGTTACTTGATTAGCCTTATTCCTAGTGCCTAACTGACCATATGAATTGGCTCCCCAGGCATACAATACCCCTTCATCTGACAGAGCCAAAGTATGTGCATATCCACAGGCTATCTGGAAATAAGTTTAAAATCATAAAATAAACATTATTTGATTCAATAGCACATCATCATCATTGAACATTTTCTAAATCTTCAAATGCATAATGAGAAAATAATTTTGTACAAAATTATTGGTAGTTACTAGAAATGAATAAAAACCCTATAACCTGAGCACTTTTGAAAGGTGGACCTTTCTTCTTCAGGGGCAAACTGCCCCAGAAGAAGAAAGATCCACCTTTCAAAGTGCTTGGATTATAGGGATTTTATTCATTTCTATCAATACTTTTTGAACCTACATGTTTTTCTAACATCATGAATAGTAGTTACTAGTTATGTTTTACTATGTTCATGTTATTTACTAATATCAAAAAATATATATTTATGAACTAAAGATGTTTCTGTAATGCCGATGTTAATCTGCAATTAATTCTTAATCTGTGTCTCAAAATTTTGGAAGCAAAATTGCTTGAAAACAAAGTGGATTGATCAAAAGTTAAGGAACAGTATCATACATAGAAATGGCAATGATAAATCAGTAGACTTTCAAAACATGTTATAATTTCATCATGTGGAAGAGTGTTTCAATTCTACTACATCTTCCACATTCAACTCAAGAGACAAAATTACATATTACCTTTTTTCAGCAACCTCCACATGTTTAACCAAATACAATGTAATTTCAATAATTTTCAAAATGTCTTCTAATTAATTTTTAATACTTATAAAGTTTTTCTTCGGGTATTTTTAACACATTCTAAATACAACTAAAACCTTCTGCAGAAGATAATCCTTGGTAAACTTCGCATATATTGAAACAAGTAATTGTGATTTTCATAGCAAAATATTTCCTTAGTTTAACTCCAGTCTGGGTTTAATTACATTGTCCGTATACTGTATATTAAAAAACTGGTTTATTGGAAAATGTCTTGAATAATTTTATGCACAAAAGATTATAAAAATCAAATATTAACAATATTGAACCCATTAACATTCCATTTATCCCTTTACTTAAATATGTTTCTATCAACAACAAAAATTACAAATTTGTTTATACACTAGTTTATCTTAAATTTCCAATAATAATAAAAACTGAGCATCATACTTCAGAATTTTTAATGGATTTATGAAATTTAGTCTAGAGGAATTAGAAACTTACAAGCTATAGTTTACTTTGGATCAAATCCAACATCTAGTTGGATCTTCAATTTGTAAGTAGCACAGGAACCATCTTAATATTAGGATTCCATTTGCATAACTTGTCTCACTTTTAAGAATTTTTCTCTAAAACCTACCTTCTGTATTACTACTGCCTGTAGATGTGTAACTTGACATGGAATAGATTGGTTAGCATTGTTCCCTAGTCCCAACTGCCCATTTCCATTGTAGCCCCAGCCATATACCTTTATGAAGGTGATTATTTAGAGCAACAGATTAATCTTTAATACATTAATCAGACAGTTTACAAAATACACATAAAATCTAGCAAAAACATGAACTATGGTAAAAGCCTGTTTTGCTTATGTTACTTAAAAGTCATAGATACCCAGAATACAAATCAACCACAAGTAAAGGATTAATTTTCCTATATATTTATTACTTTTTTTGTTTAGTAATAATGATTAAGTACATTTTTTAGAGCTTATATCATGGTATTGTTTCACCTGTAAAAGTTAGACAAGACTTAAAGCTAATTTTAATTAATCATGTTTTTTTAAATTAAAACAGGTTTTTTTGATATCTTAATATTCTGAAAATAAAATTGCTAATAGCAATGAACTAAGATATCTTCCTTACATTTAAACAAGTTTGTGTCAGATAAAACTTACTAAAATTAACTACTAAATTCAACTAAATGAACACCTTATAATTCACTATTACATTTGCCAAGAATCACAACTGATAAATAAATACTTCACATTTTTGTATATCTCTCAACAAATTATTTTGATGAGAATGAAACATGGTAAAGAAAAACACTACATATATATATATATGATAAATGTTTTGATCATGCAGATAGTAAGGAAAATGAAATTTAAACTTAAGTATCACTATATATATATGTTAAAATGGTTGTAAATTTTAGGTTAAATATTATTATACAAAGGTGACTGAAAAGTATATTCTCTGGAACACTTTTCACCCTGTAAAATGATCACTAAAGTTCTCTCAATGTTATAATTTTCTTTTACTGAAAATGTATTTCCAATAGGTACTCACTTCTTCTCACAAAAATAGCTATTCTAATTCAGTGCTGCCCTCTATATGCAAAAATGTTTTACACATGCCACATCCTCCCCTCCATTGGAGTTGACTAATTCTGATACTGCTTTCATGCAAATCATGTGACAACCCTCCACCAATAAGAGTGCTACATACTCTCATTACATATGTGCCTCCCTTTATTCAATTCTACCTCGCTATCACTTTGAGTTGTAGCACAAAATGGAAACACCAGTTTTCAGTGAGGAGGAAAAATGGGAAGTACGAGAAGCCCCCCTATCAGAAATACGTTTTCATTACAGGAAAATTATAACTTTCAATATGGTACATTACCTCCTCTCACATAAACAGTTAGAATCCCACATTGAATAGGTGGAGGGACCGGTGCGAGGGAAAGAAAGAAGCATCCTTCAAAAGTATCCAAAGGACACTCCCTACAATGAGATAATCAGATTTTAGGATCTGATGGGGGAGAGACCACACCACATCTGAACCAGTTATACTCTTTGCCCATTGTAGAAAAATGTTGTACGTATGGGCAGAAAACAGAGAAGCACATCCAACTGGGAGAGAACTATGGCTGGAAAGTGATCCAAACCATGCAATATTTATGATACTCAATCCCAGAAATTGTAAAAGTGGGTAAAATGAAAAGGTAGTAGAGAAGTAGAGAGGCTAGGGTGCGACAGACTGTACATGGCAAATCAAATACATCCAAAACCTGCCCACTGGGTACCGAAATACATGTAGGGGGTAGGAAAAAGAATCATACCGGTGGCAAGTCCACTACAATCTAAAATGCACACATCTATCAGGTGTAGGAAAGAGGATCATACTATCTTCACCTCAAGTTCATGAGACCGGAGGGAATCTAGTACCCCCTGACTCATGAACAGGGTACATGTGAATATGATAAATTAATAGATTGATCCAGGAACCCAACATCCAGTATTGAAAAGATGTCTACATAATGTAAACCATCTCTCTCAAAAGTGAAATTGACCAGAACCACCCCAAGTGCATTAACCCTATCGCCTTGGGTATCCTTTACTGCGCATAACACAACTTTTTAGTGTCTTACATTCAAAATTCTATTATACTACTTTCTGTTTACGTTATACCAATCAGAATAGCATAAAATATCAGCTAATAATCCATATTTTAATAGTATACAAGTTTTAAGTTCTTAATTCTACAAGGGAATACTAAAAAAAAATCCTGAATTTCAACTAGTGTAACCAATGTGACACATTTTCTCTTAGCATGTCACCATCTCTATTTTATCCATCACCCCTCGAAAATGTACAAAATTAAATGTAAATTACTCTCTATAAAATAGTTATTGCTTAGACAAACCATAATTTTTAGTCTTCAATTTTGTTTGGTTACAGAGCTATTGAATAGAAAATGAGACCCCTCCTGCCACATCCTCTCTTTCACAATTCATTGATAGTTCTCTCTCACATGTCATTATATATTACCTTTAACCAATAAAAAGGCAAGGTTTCCATCTATCAAATGACATATTGTATAACACTGTATTCTGAACAGAATATCATTAATTTCATTCACAGTACAAAATTCGTTCCAGTGAGAAAGTGAACGACTAGCTTGGATGAATCTGTAACTAGCTCTTGTCGTATAGCTAGAAAGCCAGGAAAATTTTGAGAGGTAGGTGAATTTGTCTACATTTTGCATGTTATTAGTCTATAATTAACTCTCTTCAAAACCCAACAGCAAGAAAAAAGAAATTGGGCAAGTATCTTTTTTTTATATTTATTATTATAAAAATAACTAAAGTATAAAAATACAGATCTTTTTAAGTTATTTAAGGTTAGATTAGGTAAAATAAGTAATAATAATAATAATATAATAAAATGGTTCACGAGGGACACACGCGAGCAGCTCGTAGGTAATGTAATTCAATACCATAACATGAGCTGCATGTTCTCCCGAGTGATTTACAACTTATAATGGCGTGGATAATAGCTAGACATGGTTCAATAGGATATCAAAGAATAAAATTTAAACATAAATAGATATATAATGTTACAAACTTAGAGCTACTTAGGATAAACAAATGTAGTTTCATGTTACAATTTGAAATCATTCTAGAAAGAAAAAAAGGTTAATTTAGGTTTATTTTGATTTTTTTTTGGTGGTTACGAGGTCAGTCGAATTCACCAATCCCATTTTGAGATAGGGTAGAAAAAACAACAGATAAACTATAAAGTTTTACTGAAAAAAAAATGTTTGAATTTTATTTTATTAAAAATACTTTACTAAGAAATATGACTTTTTGTATGTGAAAACTTGTAATATTAACTGAAAGACTGACAAATTTCATGAAGATATACCCATTATATTGAGAGTTATAAGTATTAAATCTATAAAGACTTTAATTAAACAAGTACAAAAAGGTCACGTGGTCAGTCAAATTGACCGAACCTGTATTGAGAGTGTTAACATCCTCAGAAAAAGAAACATTGAAGGATAGTGGAAGGGAAAAAACTGTAACAATCGCAATAACCTCCACTGTAACCCACAACACTGATGGAGTATAAATGAAGGAGGAATATAAACATTTGTAATACATGTGTGATGACTTATGTTGATTGGTTCTACTCTAAGTCCAAAACCAAGCCACTGGCAACCAACAACCATGTGGGGGGAGGATGAGGGATCTCAATAGAAGGGGCGAACTTCAATTTTGACATTTCACTCCCATTTGTTTATATGTTACATATTGGAGGATATCATGTCATTTACACCATCAGAACACCACCTCCCTACTCTCAACTGAATGGTTTTATAATCATTTCTGTATTTTGTCTGTATTTCCTTAACACATTCAGGAGGATGCCTCTACAGTCAAACACCCCCATGGCTTTGAACTGAAAAGTGGTAAGGACTCTCAAACTCCACTAGAAGAAAAAGGGGGGGGGGGACATAGTGGAGAGTCTGGAGGAACAAACACACCTGAGACAATGCAATTGGTGACCACAAAACCCTATTATTTAAAAGTAGACCATACCAATTTATTCAATATAAGGCATGGCAGGGATGGGCAGCTATCCCCTTCTGCTTTAACCATGTTGTCCACAGGTGAGTACGGTCTGCAATGGGCAAACTTATGAAGCAATCCTATCGTAAGGATAAACCTATAAGTGATCTTGTGGAACACCCCATCTCTGCAGTGTGTGATACGTGGCTATGGAATTATAATATGGAAGTCGACATGACTTGACAGTGCAGATATGAACAGTTAAAGAATACCTGGTCAGGCACCACTCACCCCAGAGTGGGATCCGAACAATGAGCAATAATAATAAAAAAGGAAATAAGGCCCCTGAAAAAAAAAAGAAAGAATAATAAATGAACACTTACCCAACAAAGTCTCACTGAAGTCTGAAGAATGGCTACAAGTAGAAGAAGATAGCTCAAAAAGGAAGCAACTGCGATCCTATGCAAACAGTGAGAGATAAATGTATTAGGAGTAGTCTACGTCTGATTGCAGAATTTCCTCCAATGGATGACGAAGATGAGATGGCAGAGAAAAGATAAGGTGTTGAATTTGATTAGATGCCTGGAACAAAGTACAGGAGCATTACTATAAAGAGGAATAAGCCATTCAAATTAAAAGCCAAACCCAACTGGTGAGGATGGAAGGAGAAATATCACGAAGAGAGGATGGCTGATAGAAAATAAAGAGCCAGGAATGGGCACCAAGGAAAGAATCCATGCAGGCAATATAACAGTGAAGAGCATGTACAGAACATAGAAGTATATCTGGATCAAGGTGGGAAATGGAAGGAAGTGAAATTGGTGAAAAGGAGGAGTTACACTCCTTAGCCACCGAAGTTTTGGGGAGGAAAGAACGATATGGATAAAAGAATATATATGGAGGATGATAAAGAGTATGTGAAACATTGATGGAAAATAAATCAGAGGAGAAGGAAATAAGTCTTAAGGAAAAGGTGAAACAAGGAGCACGTGGAAAATCGTTTGAACAGAGCCAAAGTGAGGCAGTGAAGGGCCACATTAACATCCTAGTCCAGAAGGGCAGCCCATCATGGTACACAACAAATTCAGAAGGAACACATCAACAGGGAAAGCGTAGGAGAGGTAAATACCCTATAGTATTGGGAAATATGAAAGGTGTGGGACAAGACCACCCGATAACCTGAAATCAAGGAGACAGAAGACCCCCAACTGAAAATCCATGTAAGAAAATCTGAAAAATGAGAAACAGTGGGTCAATCAGTAGAAAACCCTCAACCCAGAGTTTACGTTGATAAACTTCCATGAAGGAATGGCATATGGAATAAACCAGAAATGAAGCTACTAGTTGGAACAAGCCGGACCTCCTCACCAAGGAACAGATAAAAAACAGGCATGAGAAAAGAGGACATGAAGGGTTGGATGAAGAAAGGTTGATGAAGAGAGGGAGATGGGGGAAGAGTTAACAGAGGGGTAATATGAAGCTGGAGAAGCTGTGGAAACCATGGGTTAGCTAGCTAGTAAAGAGCAATCAAAAGGACTTGACATAGTGTGGTATGGATGATTAAAATTACCCAGTGAAGAAGTCAAATGGGAGGATAAACATATAGGCTGAAAGCATTGAGAGCCAGAGAAAGAGGATGAAGGACTGGAGACCAATACAAATGTAATTTGTGGTTGAGTGACATGGCAAAACCATCTATGTGAGGAGTACCCCACTGAAGGCAAAGCCAGTGGAAAACAAGAAGATCGAGAGACCACTCCATCGGATACATTTTCTCTGGACGGGAAAGCTAATCTGCAACAAAATTAAAAGCACCCAGAATATGACACACAATGATATGAAAATCTTGCATGTGGGCCAAAAAAGATCTAACCTAACATATGAATACAAAGGGATCAAGAATGGGTACCACCCCGGTGATTGAAAAAAGCAACTACCATAGAATTGTCGGAATGGAGAAAATGAGCCAAAGCCCAAGATACAGCAAGAAGCCTCCTGTTAATTGACCCATGCTCCCCCATCCCTGAAAATGTGTAAATCTGGACAGAGGAGGAAGCAAGACACCCATCGCTGTGTGAGTCTTGTTCATCCACCATTGGAGATCCTTGACAATGGTAGGAGGAAGGGTAATAAGAGCTTGCAAAGGATCCTGTACAAAATTTCACTGGTCTTGAAGAGCCCACATATGAGCACAATAGAAACATGCAAGCTATAATAGAGGGAGCAGTGAGACCGTTGAGAACTGAAAGCTCCACATAACAAAGTCTAAGAGGAGAAGATTGGGACCAACTGAAAAGAATGTTGAAAAAAACACCCAAATGGACAAGATATTGGATAGGTTAAAGGAATAACTTCTCCAATTTGATTAACCAGCCAACTCGAGCCACCTCCAGGAGCAGCTGATGAGTGTGACAAGCTAATAGTAGCCAGACATCCATATAATGATGAAAGCCCAAACCAAGAGCATGTAGGTGATGAGCAAAAGCTTTGACTAGCTGACAAAACACATATTAAGCCAAAGCAAGTCCAAAGGGCAGTGTGCAAATCTGATACATTACTCCATGATGAACAAACCAAAGATATGGTCGTGACTGACGAGATATTGAGATATGCAAGTAAGCATTCTCAATGTCCACCTTAGTTATCCACAAACCTGGAGAAAAAGCCCACCTGAGGGTGAGAAACTATTCCATGGTAAAATGGGGTAGGCTGAGAAACTGATTGAGGCAGGACAAATCTATTACAGGCTACCAGTCTCCAGTTTTCTTGGGAACAACAAACAGCTTGGAATAAAAGTCTGGAAAAAAGATGATGAACAGTTTCGATGGCCTGTTGAGACAAAATATCTTGTACTGCCTCTGACAAACACTGGCAGATGATACGATCCCGAGGCATAGGGAAGGAAATGCATAACCGAGGCAGAGAAGGGGGGATAGAAATTGAAAGACAAGTCCCTCTGATAAAACCTGAATAACCCACTGATCTGTGGCAAAAGATCGCCAAAAGGGAAGAAATTCGCACAGTTGAGCTCCCATTGAACTGGACCCAACTTGGTAATCACCGGTACTGTTGGCGCAGTGCCCATCTCTGTTGAATAAGATGACGAGATGAGGTACCCCTGGAAGGAGGAACAAGTAAAGGCTGAGAAAACCAAGAACAGGAAACATGAATAGGGGTTTCTCGTGGTTCCGACTGAAACAAACGAGATACCAAAGAGGAAAGAGTAGTGTGTTGATCCACAGACTCCACATGTGATTCCAAAGTCTCAAGTACATGGTCAAAAACATACTGCCAAAGAAAAGAGGCCATACATAAATCCCTTAGATAAGTGGGCAGCAATCAAACCTAGGACAAGGCCGCATCACAACCCAGAAGATCACAACAACAGAGAAACAACATGTGTAAAGCAGAAGCCAAAGGCAGCAAACGTGGAAGTAATAAGGGAGAGGCTGTCCCTCAAAAAACCTTTGGGATCTCAGTGCATTGGCTTGGAAAGGAGATAGATGGTAAGTAAATACTGTAGAAGTGAAGTATGGGTAAGACGAAGGTGTGAAAACTGAACATGGGTTAAAAACATTGGAAAATCAGGGACCACCCCACACACAAGTAAAATAGGCTCCTAAATGCTGAGAGTCGAGAAACAGACAATCAGCTTGATGGTAAGCCAAAGCAAAGTGATCCATAACCCATGGAGGGCGAGGCATAATGGCACCCTTAACCAATTGTGAAGCAAATTGCTCAGCATGAACCCTAATATCAAGGGAGAAAGGGAAAACTAAATACACAGAGGAAGAACTATCATGCACCAATGAAGGACAGGGAGCATAAAAAATTGGGGAAATTGATAAAACATCCCAAACCTGAGAAATCATGTCTAAAAAATGTTGTATTAGGCTTAGCTGATTCTGCAGGTTGGCCATAGGAAAACACGGCAAAATGCAGAGGTGGAAAAAAGGTATCAAAATTTTCATTGGCTCAAACAGGTTCGGCTTGTTCAGGAGAAGGTTATTGACCCCTATAATGATCAATTTTTTTTGGCAGACGATTGTGATGTATCCAACAATGGGTCACCCTCACCTGCAGCCTCTGAAAGAGTGCTTGTAGGAAATATTATACCCAAAGTGGTAACATGAACCTCAAAATTCATTTCAGAAATATGAATCAAACAAAAATGTTTGAGACAAATGCAAATGTGAGAGATGAAAATAAATAACGACTGGGAAATTAAGTTAAAGTAGAAGGCATCTTCAACATAACAAAAACAAATTAATGAAGAAATCCCACTTTGGAACTGAAACTATTAAATTTACGAGTGAGAATCACATGAAAAGCACCAAAAGCACAAAACATCTGAACACAAGTATTGCCTCATAAGAAGTAAAAGTTAGGTAGAACTGAATAGAGGGAGTTACATGTGTAATGAGAGTATGTCCCACTCCTATTGGTGGAGGGTTGTTGTATGATGATTTGCATGAGAGACACATTGGAATTAGTCAATTCCCACAGATGGGAGAAAAAAGGCTTGTGGCATACATTTTTTTTTTGCATATAGAGGGCAGCACTGAATGAGAATAGCTATTTATGTCAGTGGACATAACGTATCGTATCGGAACTTACTTTCTGAATGTAGATGAAAATAAACATATTTTAAGACAGACATTACCTCTCCATTATCCAGCACAGCCATTGAAGATGTCTGTCCACAAGCTATGGTAATACACTGTCTAGCACCTATTTGAAAGTAAAAAATTGTAGTTATGCTACACCTATTTTTTCCATTTCAAATTATAGCAGATTAGTGATATTTTTCCTATCTTATAATTATCAATCAGTTGTTGGACTCAATAAAATAACTCAATATTTCAACTTTTTAGATAAAATGATTTTCTAGGATGCAGCTAATGTTCTTTGATGTCTAACATCTCTCTAAAATAATTTGCCAAACTGAAAGTAGAAGACTTTTGATTATACAAACAAATATACATACTGGGATAGCACCGCCATTAAAATAACTTAAAGCTTACAGTCGGTGGTGGACTTCATACTTTACTGTAATTTAGCTTATTATTATTAACTTGCTGGCTAGTCAAAACATGCTAATGATAGAATAGACATAGACTTGACATACTTGCATTGGGAAGATTAAAATATACCTACACGAAAAGCTAATTTATAAAGTGATCAAGATGTTTGTAAAATAACTGTTTCTAAACAATCCTGGTTATTTAAAATTTAAACTTTTAGGCCTAAAAACCTACCATGAAAGAAGAAGAATGTAACAATATTGATATACATTTCTAAAAACCTAATTACAAGCATACTTTACCTCACTTGAAAAGTGAAAGTGATTTATGGATTTGACAGAATTTGTGTATATTGTGAATTAATTTTTCTAGAAATATTCAGACACTGTAATATGAAGCACATTTTCACAACAGATTTTAGATACATTAGCTTATATTAAGTAAATGGTAAGGAGTGTCATCACCCTAAGAAATTGAGAAGTAACATTTTCTGCAAATATGAGAGACCAGGAAGATCAAGCAACATGGAAGGGTGGAGGCAGCACAGACCTTTAACATTTGGACTCTTTACTCTGATTCACAACTAATTTCTGGGGGTAGAAACATACATCTTGCTTCATATTAAATAAAACAGGCTTTATTTTAACTTAATATTTGAACTATGTATATATAATCCACACATACACACTTTGGTTTCAAAGATTTTGTGTGGATGCTGGAGCATTGTAAACTGAGCCTGTCAGGTATAAAATAGCTTCTCTAACAGAAAATAGTAGTAATAGTAACAACAATTATGTCATTGTACTCTAAAGGTGTTGTATTTATTGGGCTTTTGTTTTTACCACACTGAAAATGTATTTCTGACAGATATTTACTTTCACTCACTATTCTCATTCAGTGACGCCCTCTATTTGCAAAAACTTTTTTGCATGCTCCAAGCCTTTCACTCCTACACACCCCTCGATTCACATGGTTTAACTGATTCTTGCATGCAAATTATCATGCGACAAACTTCCACCAAAAGTTGTGCCACACACCCATGTGACTCCATTTATGCTATTCTATCTATCACTTCGAGGTTAGGCAGAAACATAAGCACCAGTTGACAGTGGAGGGGAAATGCAAGTGGAAGTAAGTACCTGTCAAAAATATATTTTCAGTGTACCTTACTTCTGCTCATGTACATAGCTAGAATCCCACACTGAATAGGTGGAGGGATCAGTGCAGGGAAGAAAGTAGAAACCTTCTTAGAAAGCATCCAAAGGACATCTTAACAAGGGAACCTTCTAATAAGAGGATTATATGTGGGAGACTGCACCACTTCTGTACCAGGTATACTTTTTTCCCAGATGTGGAAAAGGTGACAGATCTGGGTGGAAAATTGTGAGAAGCACATTCCAATGGGAGAGAAAACAGTTGGACAGTGATCCTAACCCCAATATATTATAATGTCAATCTCCCTGATGAACAGAATGTAGGTAAAATAAGGGATGTGCCCCAAGGTGTAGAGTGGCTAGGACATGAAGGGCCGTACATGGCAAATCAACTGCATCCTGAACTCAACTGCCTGGATCCGACATCTGTGTGAAGATAAGATGAGGATCATACCATCAGTAAGTTGACTACAAACCAAAATTCAATTGCTAGGAACTGACATTCATGCAGGGGTTAGAAAAACGATCATGCTGTCTTCACCACAAGTTCAGCTGACCGGAGGGAGAAATCCCACCACCAATCTGTGAACAGGGCACACATGAGCAGAGTAAAATAACATGCATATATATATCACACTCAAATCAAACAGACTGGAACCACCTCAAATGCAGTAATCTCCTCAGCATAAAGACTTTGAGGGGTAGTGTAAGAGGAAGAAGTTCAGCAACTAAAAGTGCACCCACCGTGACCTACAACACTGGGATAGTCCAGTCGAGACAAGTTGAGTGAGGGACCAGGGACACTCTGAACACGTGTGAGGACTTACGTTGATTGGTTTAGCTCTAAATCCATGGGAACCGACTTTCATGCAGTGATAGGTTGAGGGATCTTAATCATTATGATGACACACTCCAAAATTACAATATCCCCTTGGACAAAATGGAGCATCCTTTTGGAGGGAAATTTCATCATCTACACCAGCAGAACACCACTAACTTACACCCAACTGAATGGAGTCTTTATTGTTCATATTGTAGATCTCTCATTCAGGAGGATACCTCCATGGTCCACCACTACAGCAGCTTGGAACTGTAAAGTGGTAAGGACTCTCTTACTCCACTGAAAGGAATGGGGTGAGGAACATGGTGGAAGGTCCGGAGACGGTGCAATGGGTGACCACAAAACCCTTTTTTGAAAAGCAGAAATAGGCAGCAATCCCATTCTGTTTTAATCATGAAGTCCATGGGTTAGTATGGTTTGGAGTATGAAGAAAAATATCACAAGGAATAACCTACGAGTGATCTTGTGGAACACCCCCATCTCTAATTTATGTGATTGTAATGAACAGTGTGCATTTTGTGGCCATGAAAATTATGAAAGTGAAGTCAACATGGCTTTACAGTGCAGGTTTTAGTGGCTGAAGTATACCTAGACAGGCACCACTTGCCACAGAGCAGAATCCTGGTTAAAACATGAGATGGGCCCCTGAAAAATAATATATATAACAAAAGAAAGGAAAAATATCCAGTTACAGTCTCAATGAAGACGGTACCTCATCAAGAAAGAAACAGCTACTAAAAACAGATAATGGGAGATGAACGTATGAGGTGTAGTCCCAGTGCTTGATAAACAAAATACTTCCAACAGATGACGGGGTTGAGATGCAGGTAAAAGGTAAGATGCCTGAATGAAGTGAAGTCACCAGGAATCGATTACAGGTAGATGGAGACAAGAAATAATAGGCCATTTGAATCACAAGCCAAACCCAATGGGTAAGGGAGGAAGGGAAAAAATCACGAACAGAGGAGTGGTGCAAGGGAATGAAACTGTGGAAAATGGAGTCCACAGAAAGATGCCTTGAAAGAAATAAAGCAACCCAGAGCATGTATGTGACAAAGAAGGTCATTTGGATCTGATTGAGAATAAAGGTGGAAGATGGCAAGAAACACAAATGACAAAAAGAATATTGCACATGAGCCCCCAAAGTGTAGGTTAGTAAAAGTGATCCAGAACAAAAAGAGTATATCAAGCTGAAACAGCCAAAAAAACCAGATTTGTGCAGGCCAGAAAGGATCAATTAGAAAGACTTGACCCAGAGTGACATGGATGTTCAAAATCACCTTGGGAAGAAGAGTGACAAAATGAGAAAAACTAAAGTTATAAACTGTATCTAATCCTGTCTGAACGTATTGACAGCCAGGGTAAGTGGATGATGAACCAAAGACCAAAAACAAAAGATGTAACTTGGAATCGAGAAAGGAGTTAAACCCTTCCCATGGAGGAGTACTACACAGGAGGCAGGGCCACTCCTTAGGAGAAAGTGCGTCAGGACTGGAAAGGTTATCTGCGACAAGGATGAAAGCACCAGGAACACAACATGCCAAGAAATGTATCACAAGTGTGTGTTTTCAAAAAGGGAGATCCACTATCTATCACAAAGAGAACAAGAATAAGTGCCCCATTGACGAGTGATATAAGCAACCAACGTCGAATAATAAGAATGAAACATGATTAGTCAAATCCAAACAAGAGGAAGAAAGTGAACTAAAGCATGTTGGACTGCTAGAAGTACAAGGTTGTTAACATAGTAAAACCTTTCATCCATAGACCATTGTCCTGAAGCATGCTGCTGATTCACCCACACCCCTCAACTTTTCAGATGAGCATCAGGAAAGAGAAACAAATCCAGACAAGGGGGGGGGGGGGGGTAATCAGTAAACCTGACAATGTGGGGGATACATTCAACCACCAATACATATAGTCAAAGAGGGAAGGAGGAAGGTTAAGAGGAGAACCAAAAGGAACCCTTGCAAGAGACCATGGGTTGTGCAGTGTGTTCTGAGAAGATCACAAATGTGCCAGACCAAAAGGGAGAAGTGTTACCATAGAAGCCATATGCCCCAATGTGCCAGACCAAAAGGGAGAAGTGTTACCATAGAAGCCATATGCCCCAATGTGTCAAAACCTCACTAGCAGTAAGATAGTGGACCGCAATAGCATGGATAACAGAAAGCTACATCAACTGCATTTGAGGAGGAGAATGGATAGTCCTGATGGAGGTAGGTGTTTAAAAAGACACTTCCCAAATAGCCAACATTATTAGGTAGGTAACAAGAAAAACTTATCCAACTGGAAAATCCAACAACCCAGATAAGTATGTTATGACCACCCCCATTTGGAAGGAGCTAACTGAAGCCAGACATCCAAGTTGTGGCATTAGTAACATCCCCCGAAATGCAAAAATTGAGTAAAATGCAGACCACCTGACAAAAGACATACAGAACCAAAACAAGTCCCAAGGGCAACACACAAAACTGGTACCCAATCACATGGTGAAAAAAACTAAGATAGCATTCCAAGAAATAAAAAACAAGAATGTGTACTGTGGGCATTCTCAGTCCTGCAGAAACTGACCACCTGATTGTGATCAAAGACTACATACTAAAACAAGGAAGAACCAAGAAGTGATTCAGGTGGGGCCAATCAATCCAGAACTCCAATCAGCATCGAGCAATACATGATGAATGAATCAATCTGTAGGTAGGTCTGGTA